TTAAATTGCAGTATTAAGACTACTGGGGATTCTGTACCAGTGTAAAATACAATAAAAATCTATTTTTAGATTCTATAAACAAGAACATCCAACTTTTGTATAGGAGAAAATAAAAATTCTGTGTATTAGCTTCAGAAACATTACTGGTGTCTGTTTAAAAACAATGCTGCTTAACTCTGCTAATTTTAAATGATTCACATGACCTTTTTTCCTCTTTTCCCTTATTGGACATTTCTTTGCTAAGTATTGGAAATCTGCTTTTTTTCTTTGGAAAATAGACTTATGTGGGCTTCCTGGTGGTTTAGATGGTAAAGACTCTGCTGGCAGTGCCAGAGACCTGGGTTTGATCCCTGGGTTGGGGAGATCCCCTGGAGAAGGGCATGGCAACCCACTCCAGTGTTCCTGCCTGGAGAATTCCCATGGACAGAGGAGCCTGGTGGGTTACAGTCCATGGGATCACAAAGAGTCAGACATGACTGAGAGCATTGTGCTTGTGTATATATAAATATATTCTGTAATATATACAGTAGACAAGCTTGCCTCCCATATCATGACTTGTGGATATTTCTCACCACTAAAATGAATTTTATAGTTATCCTAAAATGATAACTATCTTCAGATGAATGTGCTGATGTAGCTGAACAGATACACTGTTGACACAGCAGAATGTCTTTCTCAGCATCTGCCTTTTTAGGAAGATTTCACTCTCTGGGTAGAAGGATAAGCGCTGAGAAATATGACCTTGCAGTGACAGAATGTCAATGCGCAGCATGGGCAGCTGAAGCAGTGCGTGGCAGCCTCCCTTTATTGCCACATATACTAAAGCATTTATGTGGTGCTGGTCCTCATCGAAATATCGGGGTTGTCTCCAGGGCAACCGGCAGCTCATCAAAGCTCTAATTCTTATAGAAGCCAGATAGAATTCTGATCAAAAGTAAAGCTTCTACAAAAATTCAAGTAACAATGAAAATGAGAGGATTCCTAAAGATGAACCAAACACAACATTCTTTACATTTTTCCAACAGAGTAATAGCTAGTTTCGCCACCCATCTGAGCATCTATGCTATGAAAATAAAGCATTAACGTGTCCTGATCTGTTAAACAGTTTTTCTTTCTTTGATTCCCTTTTTCCTTCCAGTTTTGCTCCTATGAGGCATTTCCTGCACTTACTAATTCTTAAATTGCAGTATTAAGACTACTGGGGATTCTGTACCAGTGTAAAATACAATAAAAATCTATTTTTAGATTCTATAAACAAGAACATCCAACTTTTGTATAGGAGAAAATAAAAATTCTGTGTATTAGCTTCAGAAACATTACTGGTGTCTGTTTAAAAACAATGCTGCTTAACTCTGCTAATTTTAAATGATTCACATGACCTTTTTTCCTCTTTTCCCTTATTGGACATTTCTTTGCTAAGTATTGGAAATCTGCTTTTTTTCTTTGGAAAAACCTCACCTAGCTAGCTCTTGAAACTCTGTCCTTTGAGAATACTACAGAATGAAATAAAGAAGTTGGGGGTAATGGAGGGGAGATTTAGACAGAAGGAAACGAGTTCTCATTGTTCTGTGGTAGTAGAACTAAATGTCCATCTCATTATGCCTGATTTCATTTATTTCCTGTCTCAGGAGTTTACAAAGAGCTGACTCTCTTCTCCTGAACAAGAAGTGTGTTATGGTCATGTGGATAGAGAACCAAAGTCATTTGTTTTAATATCAACATTTCCCTGGGTGGTTAGAAAGTTGCTGAAGTTATGATTTTGGTCTATGACTTTAAATTTAAAATTACAATATTAGCATTTCCTAGAAACTATACTACTATGTATTTCTCCATTACAAACTCCTGGAAAACATAATCCCTTTACCACAACTGACATATTTTAAAACTGCTATCTGGAAATAGGCTCTAATCAGCAAAACATAGAAGGCTAATAAGAAATTAGAAGAGACATAGGGGAAAAGACTGATTTTCTCTATCTGAATGTGGAATTAACACTCATACATTATTTTCCACCTAACACTAAATAGAATTTATGGGGAGGTCCAAGCCAACAGATGTGACTTATTAAATGTATATGTCACAGGGAGGGGGGAAGCCCCTTTCAGTAGCAGAGATTACTAAAGTCTAGTCTGTGACAAACTCAATGGATGACTTGAAGCAAGTTTTCACCTCCCTTTGGGCCTCAGATTCTTCAACTGCACAATCAGAGTAGTTCCAGCTTCAGCACTTGGTTGTTCAGTTGCTCAGTCGTGTCTGACTTTTTGTGACCCCATGAACTGCAGCATGCCAGGCTTCCCTGTCACTCTCTCCCAGAGTTTGCTCAAACTCATGTCCATTGAGTCAGTGATGCCATCCAACCATCTCATCACTTTATGTTTCTATAATATATTAAAGTATCCTGGATAACACAAGAAAAGGAATCTGCTTATCAGAGAAGCACTTTAAAATGTGTCTCATGGGGTGTTTAGAAAAAATCACTGTTCCACTGAGTTTACCATCCTTAAAGAAAAAAGAAACATTTTTTTACTTAAAATTTTTTCTTCTTAATATAATAAATATTCTTTATCAGCAACTTGATCTATTGATGACAATCCTGGCCCATTTGCTTCCAGCAAGCCTCTTTAATGATGACTTATAATTTAAATCCAGTACCTGCTGCTAACGCTTCAAACAAACTCTGATTTGGGGGGTTATGAGTAACATGGATCCATTGATTAAATCAATTCAGCCTATGCTTTGTTTACATTGCTTTATTTCTTTGTTTTAAATGTTTATAATATCACAATGCCTAAGTGGTGTTTAAAGTCAGTAAATTAAAAACAAAACAAAACAAAAAACTATCAATCATCTAAACTTTAACTTGAATTTAAAAAAACAACAAACAATAAAGACAAAAATGAAAAAACACCCCAAGACAAAAACAGCAAGCTCTAAATGTATGTGAGTGGGGTCTGTGTGTGTATGTGTGTGTGAATCTGAGTTTAGTATTATAAGATAATTGAAACGTAAAAATCACAGCATTCTCTTACACAAAACAGGAAATCCAAAAAAGATTAAAAACTGAGTGGAAAATTCCACTGGATTCATGGTCTGGGGGCATATAGAGAGAATTTCCTTTCCTTTGTCTACATAGTTCATTTCTTAGAACAATCCTGTAAAAAAAACTGTAGTTTCTTCCAAAAAAAATCAGAGAACTGAAAGGTATAGGTTAAAAAAAACTGTGAAGATGATTCTTCTGTTTGCGCGTGCGTGCTCAGTAGTTCAGTCGTGTCTGACTTTCTGCTACCCTGGGGACTGTAGCCCGCTAGACTCCTCTTTCATGGCATTCGCCAGCTGAGAATACTGGATTGGGCTGCCATGATCTCCTCCAGGGGATCTTCTGACCCAGGGATCAAAGTCTTCTGTGTCTCCTGTGTTCCCTGCACTGCAGGTGGATTCTTAACCCACGGAACTCCCCGGGAAGCCCTTATTTTGTTCAGAGTTTCTCAAACAGGAGCTGTTGCTTTTGGAGACTGTGGGCCCACCAAAATTAAATGTAATATTTTGTAGGTGTGTCATAATATTCATTTTAATCAAGTTCGCAAAAATATACATTGTTAAAAAGACTAATAACTACAGATCTGATGCAAATGAGAAATCTTCATCACAGAGTGAAGAGCAATTTTCTGTAGTCACACCATTAGCCAGAGACATTAACAGCCCCAGAACCCAAATGCCTAAGGTTACGCTGCTGCATTCAACTTTGTGCCATCTTGTGAATAAACTCTGCCTGCTTTATCTTTTGCAAACCTAAAGTAAGCTTACAGAGATTTCAAGGATACCATTTCAATTTTAACATTTATTGCCATTAAAATTACTTTTTAAAGATCAGTCTGACAAGAATTAGCCCCAGAGAAAGAATTCCTCTAAACAAAACAAAGTTCTAATGCACACAGGATGAAGTCCTAGTTTCTTTCCTACTTACAGAAGCAAAAATTACCTATGTCTAACACTCAGTGTTTGAACATCCACTGGAATTTAAATAAAATAGGCAAAGAGTTTCATCTAGTATAGCTGACCTACTTGGAAAGATCATTCTTCTTCTTCCACCAGTTTTACTGAGATGAGGTTTATTAACATAATCACACAAATAAATTATAATTAGTAAAGAATATTGCATACAAGCCTGTACTAACTCATTTCGTTTTACCAGTTTTCTCCTGTTACGTGTTTTTATGAAAATTATTTTTATTTTAGAAAGTTGCCAAGATGTACTGGTTATTAAATATGCCTTCAGAGCTAAATCTGCAGGAACATTGCACATTTCCCATATCTTTTTCTGACTCACTTTCCTTCCAGAGAGAACAAAAAGAGTTCCAAGGAGAGGAAGAAATAGCTGTAATATGTTTATGGGCATTTAATGCTAGATGGTTTAGCATGCTTAATTGCTATCGGTGAGTCAGAGCAAAAAGATGACAGTAGAATCTATCATGTTATGTTATATCATGCAAAATTTTAACAAAGGCAAGACAAGCTATGTTGCTGATTTCAGCAATGTGCTATATTTGATAGCAATTCTACAAAAGAAAACCACTAAATTGTAAAAATGCCTTAAGTCTTAAGGTAGTGAAATATATTTTCTGAGCTGAGAATATAATGGGTAGGGAGCATAACCTGATAGGATCACACAGCACAGTCCCTACAGGGACTTTAAACTCAGTAATTCTTTATCAAGACCCAGAATGCCAGACAGTGCAACACTAATATTCTTGACTCAGAACTTAAATTTCCGTAACTGATTAAGTATTTCCTCTTGGATAAAGAGTAAAATACAGGTTTCCTATTCAAGGAAGTGACCACACTTTGTCTTCATCATAAACCAATGTGTGAAAAAGTGAAAGAATTTATATCTCAGTGACCATTGGCAGACACAATACCCTTTGGTCTTCAAAATGCAGACTAAGAGACTAAAACCTAAAGATAAACTACACTGGGAAAAAAGGAAATAAAAATTTCAAAATGCTGAAAAAGGAAAAAAAGTTATCAGTCTGTACGTCCCTTTATAATTTACATTAATGACATTTCCTCATTAAAATGCAATAGTGATAGATTAAATAAATTGGGAATGGAATGGAGTGATCAAATCATCGTGTCTAACACATGACAAGGGAGGGCAGATTTCCCTAGACAAAGGAACAAAGATGAAAGAAAAATATTTTAAAAAATCAATAGGTATTATATCAGCATCTGCAAAAGGTTCATTGAGCATAAAGCCTAAAGATATCAAGTAGAGGTATTAGCATCAGTAGTGAGCAAGCAACACAAAGTACCCGTATCAACTCAGAATCCTGTGCTGTATTTTCAGACACCTAATATATTGGCCTGGAGCTTTTCTAAATCAATGCTTCTCTGTTTATACTCATGTAGAAAATGTAATCTGAGTTTCAAAGCATTTTTAATTTTGTTCAATCTTGCATTTGTTCAACCAAAAACAATTTAAAAGAGAACCAAGGCTACCAGCCTCACAATGAGCAAGTGCAACTCCTCACTAGGGAGCTCTTGAATCTGCCATAAAAATCAACAGTGTGCACCTAATAGTTTTCTTTTAATCTGAGCAGTGAAAAGTGAATAATCACATCAGATATCCTTCAGGGCCTCTTTGGTTTCCAGATTAAACATGTAATGTGACCTGTCATCCTGCCACATTCTCTCCGCATTTCCATTTTAAATAATCATAAATAAGAAAACCTTGCTACTGTTTGGCATGACACAGCTGTTTGATTCAGCTGCATTTCAAAGCCTTAGAAATTGCACTCATTCCTTCTTTAGAGTCCTTGTTCATCTCAGAGGTTTTTCAACTGAAAGATTCTTTATTGTACTCAAATCTTGTCCCATAGGAATTGTTTTGATTACTCAGCTTATGAAGAGTCTTAGAAATCGAATTGGGTCCACAGCAAAAAACACCAACTGTTTTCCTGGAAAGACAAAGAGAGAAAATGGAAAATCAGATGGAAAATAAGGCAGAACATGACAAGAAGTATATTTCAGCAGTGTGTTTAAAGTGTTAATAAAGTTAATTTCTCGATGTATACATCTTTGTATATGAATAATTTTCCAACCACTGTATTACCAAATGTAAGGGAATATATTTTATTTACCTCATGCTTTTTATGCCAGAAATCAAGATAATTCAAAAAATATGACACATATTTGTTAATTATCAGAGAGACTGAGCAGTCTGCATGTCACTGATGAGGGCAGAAATAAAGTCAAGAGCAGCAACTGATAGATGTCAACTGCCTCACATGTGACATATGAACAGATTCCCATCCACCCTGGACCTTATCGGTTCTTCTCATACTAGATGCTTTACAGACATTTTTTTTCCTCTAAAGATCTCATGGATTTTTCACCAGACATGGTGAATAAGACAAAAGACAAGGAAGCTATTACCAATTTGGAAGAATAATTTTAAGTGACTAATTTACATCCACATTAAAACAATAAGAATATTAATCTGGATACATTTTCTTTTATTTATGTTCCACAATAACTGTAACAAATGCCAAGCAGGTTTTATTATTCACCAGCATTTCAGGAGACAAATTATACATATTCCTAACAAATAGAATAAATACATTCCATGAAATGACTAATATTTCACATTGATTCCCTTCAAAGTTTGTTGATTTGTATTGAATTCTTCCTAGGATATCAAAATGACTAACAATTCTAATCACAGCTTGGATAAATATTGTATGTATTCATTATCTGAGAATAATTGTTGCTGAACAGAAAGAATCCATTTAAATGGGTACCTAAATTTATAATAAATACTGAAAATTGAGGTTTATTGAAAACTTTTAACCTTGAAAAATGAAACAAAGAACCACAAAATAAATTTCTACTGGCACCCATGATGGAGTAATAGGGACTAGATTTTTCCCTCTTGCACTTAAAAAATAGGACAAAACAAAGAACATATAAAACTATTATTTCCAGATACTGGCTAATAGGCAGCACAGAACTGTTCATCCCTAAGAAAAATGAAAAAAATAAGGTGAGCCTCAAAATTGTTTCTACTTGTTGCCTGAAGGTGATTTAAAAGATGGAAGGGGGTGGAAGTTCTTGAGCTCCCCCCCTTCCACCCCCTTCCATCTTTTAAATCACCTCAAGAGGGAGAGGATATATACATAATTATGACTGATTCGCACTGATGTACAGCAGAGACCACCACAACATTGTAAATCAATTATCCTTCAATTATAAAGAAAATTTAAAAATAATGTAACAAACGATTAAAAAAAGAAGCTGAAGCTCATAAGAGGGAAACTCATGCAGAGGCTGGTGGTCTTACTGAGTTAAAGACAAAGGAATGAAGTTCATGAAGACTAAAGCAGCTCTACGGAAAGTGCTGCTGCTAAGTCTCTTCAGTCGTGTTCGACTCTATGCCACCCCATAGACAGCAGCCCATCAGGCTCCCCCGTCCCTGGGATTCTCCAGGCAAGAAGATTGGAGTGGGTTGCCATTCCCTTCTCCAATGCATGAAAGTGAAAAACGAAAGTGAAGTCGCTCAGTCATGTCCGACTCTTAGCGACCCCATGGACTGCAGCCTACCGGGCTCCTCCGTCCATGGGATTTTCCAGACAAGAGTACTGAAGTGGGGTGCCATTGCCTTCTCCAATACAGAAAGTGAGAAAATATCAAAAGAAAGAAGCTCTGGAGATCTGCAGGGAAGTATCTTCAAGTCTTTGGCTGAGTGCTAATCTTGTGAACCTGGGTAAAGAACTACCATTTCCCTTCAAAGTTTGTTGATTTGTATTGAATTCTTCCTAGGATATCAAAATGACTAACAATTCTAATCACAGCTTGGATAAATATTGTATGTATTCATTATCTGAGAATAATTGTTGCTGAACAGAAAGAATCCATTTAAATGGGTACCTAAATTTATAATAAATACTGAAAATTGAGGTTTATTGAAAACTTTTAACCTTGAAAAATGAAACAAAGAACCACAAAATAAATTTCTACTGGCACCCATGATGGAGTAATAGGGACTAGATTTTTCCCTCTTGCACTTAAAAAATAGGACAAAACAAAGAACATATAAAACTATTATTTCCAGATACTGGCTAATAGGCAGCACAGAACTGTTCATCCCTAAGAAAAATGAAAAAAATAAGGTGAGCCTCAAAATTGTTTCTACTTGTTGCCTGAAGGTGATTTAAAAGATGGAAGGGGGTGGAAGTTCTTGAGCTCCCCCCCTTCCACCCCCTTCCATCTTTTAAATCACCTCAAGAGGGAGAGGATATATACATAATTATGACTGATTCGCACTGATGTACAGCAGAGACCACCACAACATTGTAAATCAATTATCCTTCAATTATAAAGAAAATTTAAAAATAATGTAACAAACGATTAAAAAAAGAAGCTGAAGCTCATAAGAGGGAAACTCATGCAGAGGCTGGTGGTCTTACTGAGTTAAAGACAAGGGAATGGAGTTCATGAAGACTAAAGCAGCTCTACGGAAAGTGCTGCTGCTAAGTCTCTTCAGTCGTATTCGACTCTATGCCACCCCATAGACAGCAGCCCATCAGGCTCCCCCGTCCCTGGGATTCTCCAGGCAAGAAGATTGGAGTGGGTTGCCATTCCCTTCTCCAATGCATGAAAGTGAAAAACGAAAGTGAAGTCGCTCAGTCATGTCCGACTCTTAGCGACCCCATGGACTGCAGCCTACCGGGCTCCTCCGTCCATGGGATTTTCCAGACAAGAGTACTGAAGTGGGGTGCCATTGCCTTCTCCAATACAGAAAGTGAGAAAATATCAAAAGAAAGAAGCTCTGGAGATCTGCAGGGAAGTATCTTCAAGTCTTTGGCTGAGTGCTAATCTTGTGAACCTGGGTAAAGAACTACCAGGAAGAAGGCCAAAAAATTCTGAGTTTATACAAGGTTATCAACAATTCATATTACCACAAGCTAAAACGGAAATACCTACATGTAATATATTGGCAATGGATAGGAAACTTTAAAAGGTATTACCTTATTTGCAAAGTGTAGGCAGGATTTGCTAAAATTAGCCTTAGACTGGGCTTCTCTGGTGGCTCAGAGGGTAAACCGTCTGCCTGCAATGCGGGAGACCAGGGTTTGATCCCTGGGTCAGGAGGATGCCCCGGAGAAGGAAATGGCAACCTACTGCAGTGTTCTTGCCTGGAGAATCCCATGGATGGAGCAGCCTGGTAGGCTACAGTCCACCGGGTCGCAAAGAGTCGCACATGACTGAGGGACCTCACTTACTCACCTTACATTTAGCCTTAGACTGCAGGGTGTTCTGGATTCATACTGTGTGTGCAGGTGTGCTCAGCTGCATCCAACTCTTTGCAACCCAAAAGACTGTAGTCCATCATGCTCCTCTGTCCATTGGATTTATCAGGCAATAGTACTGGAGTGGGTTGCCATTTCCTCTTTCCTGACATTACTAACATAGCTTAAAAGCAAGCTCTGGAAAGATCAAACTAAACCCAAGTAACGAAAGTGTTTGCCATAAACAAGTGCAACAGTATTGAAAAGAATAAATAAATGTTGGCATTAGACATCTAAAAGTACAAAATTGTTGTCGTTGAGTCACTCAGTTGTGTCCTGCTCTTTGTGACCCCCATTAACTGCAGCACACCAGGCTTCCATGTTCTTCACTATCTCACAGAGTTTGTTCAAACTCATGTCCATTGAGTCAGTCAGACATCAAACCATCTCATCCACTGTTGTCCCCTTCTCCTCTTTGCCTCAATCTTTCCTAGTATCAGGGTCTTTTCCAGTGAGCTGGCTGCTTGCATCATGTGGCCCAAGTTTTGGAGCTTCTTCAGCAACAGTCCTTCCAATGACTATTCAGGGTTGGTTTCCTTTACGACTGAGTGGTTTGATCTCCTTGCTAGTCAAGGGACTCTCAAGAGTCTTCTCCAGCACCACAGTTTGAAAGCATAAATCCTTCGGTGCTCAGCCTTTTTTTATTGTTCAGATCTCACATCCATACATGACTACTGGAAAAAACATAGCTTTGACTCTATGGACCTTTGCAGGCAAAGTAATGTCTCTGCTTTTTAATACACTGTTTAGGTTTGCCATTGCTTTTCTTCTAAGGAGCAAGCATCTTTTAATTTCTTGACTGCAGTCACCATCTGTGGTGATTCTGAAGCCCAAGAAAATAAAATCTGTCATTGTCTAGTTTTCCCCCACCTATTTGCCATGAAGTGAGGGACTGGAGGCCATGATCTCCATTTTTTGAATGTTGAGTTTTAAGCCAGCTCTTTCACTCTCCTCTTCCACACTCATGAAGAAGTTCTCTAGTTCCTCTTTGCTTTCTGCCATTAAAGTNGGAAAGGGAAAAAAAAAAAAAAAAAAAACAAACAAAAAAAAAGTGATATCATCTGCATATCTGAGGTTGTTGATATCCCTCCCTGCAATCCTGATTCCAATTTGTGAGTCATTCAGCCCAAATCAAAAAATTACCAGGAATGTATATAGCAAAAAATGATGAATTGTAACTAAAAGTGTTAGGGGTTGAATCTTGCCCCCTCCCCCAAATTCACGTTGAAACTCTAACCCTCAGTACCCCAGAATGTGGCTATATTGGGACATAGGGCCTTTAAAGACATAATTAAGCTAGAATGATGCTATTAGGTCAATGTTATTGCAATCTGACTGGGGTCCTTATGAGAGAAGGCATTAAAGATACACTAGAGATGCACATACACAGATAAAAGAATGACCATGTGAAGAGACAGCAAGACGGTGGTCCTCTGCAAGGTAAGGAGGGTCTCAGAGGAAATCCACCCTTGTTTTTGTTGCTCAGTTATGTCTGACTCTTTGCGACTCCATGTATTGCAGCACGCCAGGCCTCCCTGTCGCTAACCATCTCCTGGAGCCTGCCCAAACTCATGTCCATTGAGTCAATGATGCCATTCAACCATCTCATC